CTAAGAAGTAAAATCCATCTATATTTCAGTGAGAACACTATTGATGAAACCCATAAGATTTACTTATTCTACAATTTTTAGAATTTACTACATGAATTTTTCATTGGCATTAATTGAAACTGATCTTGATTAAGGTGATTTTATTCAAAGAGAAAAAAAAAGACATTTAAATTTCAAATTGAATAAGTATTCAGTATATGTACACATATATACATATGGACAGATACGTCAAATCAAATTCGGACACTTAAAATATTGAAAACCATTTCTGTTGAAACTCATTCATTCTTTATGTGTCACAGTTTTTTTTTTTATTTTTTAATCAATTTAGAGTCAGAAATTTTGAATTAGGTTTTAAATTGCAGAGTGAGACTTAGATTTATTCACATTTTTTGATATTTAGAAAATTTATGTGCGCACAGTATGAGCTTTATATTCTTATTAGGTAATTATTTAAAATAGTATATATTTTAAGAGCTAATTTGTCAATTTTTTGCAACACATTTCAAGGCTTAAATTAATTGAAAATATTTTATACAAACATATTTAAAATAAACAAGCTTTAATTTTATATCCAGATACATAGATTTTTTACCAATATTAAAGAATAATATTATCTAAGCTTAAATTTATGTTTTACAAGGTGTTCGAATTTGACAGGACGTGGAGTGTATATTGTCATTTTAATTGTAGCATTTATTTTAATATATGTATGTTCTCATATGAATGCAAATGTAAGCAAATAATAATATAAATGTTTCAATAATAATAATAAATGTATAATCTATCAATACAAAAATTTCGAATTGGAATTATTAAAATATATTTAAAAAAATATAAAAACAAAACTAACCCTAAACTAATCATAATATTGGCAACCATTCCCTGGGCCCCTACCAACCATATCGTTTACATGTCAATATAGTAGTAGATAAGCACACACATACCTATGTGATTCAAAAAATCTGGGCCTTAAAACAAAATTTTAGTTGCGCCTTTAATATAAACTATTTTAGATTTTTTTTTTTTTTGTAAATTATAATAATGCAATATTGTGATTTTTAATATAAGAGTTAGAGTTACGTTGATAAAACAAGAAGAAAGTGGTGAAAATAAGAAAAATATTGTAATATTTTTGTATTTAATATTTTATGTTTTAAAAACATGCGCATGCATAGCTCGTTATTCTTATTATTATTTTTCTTCCTTAATTTTTTTATGTATGTACCTACCTAAATATATATGATGAATGCATTATTTTGTGTATAAGTAAAATTGTAGGTACATACCTACCTAACTATACCTATCATCTACCTTCGTAGAATATAATATACATACTTATCTTCCTATAATACAATTAAAAGGGTTTACGTGAAGAATTTGAAAATTGTTTTCAAATTTAATTCTCTCTGGCAAAAATCACAATTCAAAGTGGCATTTATTCTTATTCCAAATTTATTAATCTTGACTTTAAATTTATTTTAGGAAAACCTTGTGAAAACAGTGCTTAAATTCTATGAATGTGCTGCTATAGCTGGTATAAAAGCTTTTTTATTTTACATCATCGGCATTAAAATTTTAGAGTATTTATGATGAAATTTATTTATAAGTACGTTTCTATATTACTTCATATTAGAATAATAATTTTCACATTTACATGTATAGATACGTTAGGTAAATAGGTACCTCGATACATATTATTATTAATATAATCAAAAAAAAAACAAAATTGGCGTTTTATAAAAGACCATTTTTCGCTTCATTTTTTTTATTCTATTGTATTAAAAAAAAAAATTGTACAGTGTACACACACCACCTATTAAAAGAGTATGCCATCATATCAAACATAGCCAGGCAGCCAAGGCAGGCAGCATTTCTGTATCGAGTAAACAAAACAAAAACAAAAAAAAATTATAAAAGGAAAAAAAAATACGCCATTTCTATATAGAAATTAAAGCGATATAGAAAAAATTGAATACAAAACAAAAACAGAAAAAAAAAAGAAAAACAAGAGTTTATTTCCTCTATAAAACAATGACAAGCAGCGAGAAGATACGAAACTATTTACATGTGTAGTTGTTTGTTGTTTATATTTATAAAAGTACATATGTATAACACAAAAAAAAAAAAGATTTATTGTAAAAAATCAAGGGATTTGAATTCTTTTTTGAGGATCTATTTGAGATGACAACGAAAAAAATAACATTTATTTTTGCATTATCTATATATTTAAGAGATTGAGAATTCGGGCATGGCTCATATAATTATTATTGAATATTTATAAAATATGAAAAATTTTCTTCTAAATTTAATTTTAGAAAACACATCATCAAAACTGCAACACAAGGGGTATACATAAAATCAAAACTACAACAACAGGGGTGGGTATAAATAAACAAAAAAAAAATTTTTTTTTAGTAACATTTTTTGCCAACTCTTCACTCAAAAATCAATTCATTTCACTTCAACTAAATGCAAATTGAATTAACAGAGTAAGTAATAGTTAATTTTAACTAAAAATCTTTTTAATACAAAATATAACTATAATAATTTAATACAAACAAATTTGTTTATACATATGTTTGTATGCCAAAATGTTTAAGTTTATGTGTATATGTAAATATATATCCATATGATAAAAGTATGTACATATTAACAAAAACAAGTTTTACTTAAAGGATAAATTAACCAGTACAAAATTGAAAAGAAAATAGAAATTGACGTATTTGAAGATAGCCCAAACACTTTTATAATAAATATTTTTGTACATATTTATGTATTGATTGTATTTTAAGTAAATATATAGCTAAAATACTTTTGTAATGTGGCAATAGTATTTAATTTAAAATAATCTACTTTTATTTAGTTGATATTATTTGTTATCTGGGAAATTTGTACTATTATCTACACAATAATTTGACACAAATAAAAATATTCTCTCTCCCACTTTTTTACTTACATATATTTATATATCAAAAATTATTATGACATAACATTAATTATAGTAGAGACGCACACACAAAAACACCATAGACTTATATTATATAGCTTCGCTTAAGTGAGTGTAGTCTACCTACTATAGAATTAATTCTATTATTTAAAAAAAAAAAATCATTTCCTTTTTTTGTGTAAGTTTTATAGAGAAAGAAAGGGAAAATGGCAGCTTTTTTATTTATAATACCTATTTAAAAAAAAAAAAATAATAATAATAAACACAAAAAAATAAAAATAAATTGATGCCTAAAAAAAAAATTAAAACAAAACAAAAAAAAAAGTATAAATACTAGCGCGTTTCAACAAATTCAATTAGGTGCTGCTGCTTTTGCTTCTTTAATTCTTATATGATTGAAATGAATATTTACATATTTGTAGTTTTTTTTCCCTCTCCCACATTCTGTGACTGTGATATGTTTAGAAATAATGGTACATATTATATATATATATATTATGAATTTTGCTCTATATAAAAATTTCTTTACATATATATATATATTTAAATGCATATAAAAACTTTTTTATCTATTTATATTTTATATGTGGGAATAAAATGTACATACATATACACTAAAGTATTAATGAAAAAATTTGAAAATATTCATTGGTTTTATACACGTTTTACTAAAAAATTTCCTCTAAATCAGAAAATAAAATAACAAAAACAGTAAAGAATTGTCACTTTCATTCTGAAAATATAATTTAATATTAATTCTAACCAATTTTAATTAGAATTTAATGTGAACTTTGTTATTTATTTAATAAAATTTTTAAAGGAAATTTATCTTTCCAAAAAAAAAAAGGAGATAAAAATGAAAAAGAAAGCAAAACAAATCTATCCATTTAAAAAATCTACTACTCTTTCTTTTCTTCCTTGCCATTTGACAATTTTTTAATAAACAAGAATGAGATAGAGATAGAAAATCGATACTTTTTTTTTCTTTCCTTTTTTTTATTCAGTTTTACCAACTCACAAAAACTTAATTTGTAAAATATGTGAAACACATACAACACTACTTCAATAAAACCTCGCTCACTCAATTTTATAATTCACAATACACAAATACACAAAATTAAAAGAAAAACAAAAAATAAAAATAAGACGTAATTAAAAAAAAAATTCTATTGAAAAAAAAAGAACCTTATCTGTTTCATTCTTTCAACCATATTTAGTATTAAAATGACACTATGAAAGAAGCGTTCAACACAATATTTGCCCATTTTTTTTTCATATATAAAAAAATAATAATAATAATAAAAATTTTTTATTTATATGACATGCGCGTTTCTTTTGCAATATCAACACTTGCGCAAAATTTCGTATACGTATATCTTCAGACGTTTCAAAAAAAAATCAATGTATTTAGGCATTTTTTTTTATTAGTGTTTTTGTATTTTTTTTTTTTCAGACGAAAATAAAAATGGCAGCACGCTATAGATCATCATTTAGGGTTTATTTTTTTCTCGAAAAATCGCCTTAAATCAAAATTATAACAATTTGAAAATAATTTAATTTCAAAATAATTTTAACAAGTCATCGAATGAAATCATTTTGAAAGGAGAAATTAATCTTTTTCTGGGAGAAAAAGTAATATGAAAATTTTTAGGCCGTGCAAAATACTATGAAAAAAAAAGCATCATGGCGGATGTACTATTTGATAAAAAATTTTTGTCAACATCATAAAAATTCATTTTTTTCTAAATATATTTGAGAGATATTTTATAATTGAATTGTTTTTTAAAAATTTAATATAATTATCTACCAAAAAAAAATTAATATTAAATTATCAAAATACGCCATCTTTATTTTTTTAAAGAATTTTTCTTTAACCATCCAATTAAAGCCTAAATCTTTATTATTTATATTAAAAAAAATCCTGCAAAACAATTACTATAATTGTTGTAAACCACGTAAATAGGTAACGAAATTAATTTTTTTTTTTTAATTATACAATCTATGTAAGATTTTTAAAATGAAATTATACTTAGTACATATTAAGACTTACTTTTTCCCTTAAGGAAAACGTTTAATAGTTTCATATTATTTGTATAGGATTTTTAAAACACTTCGAATATTTTTGTTTAGTTTAATTATAAGATCGATTTACAATTGCATTTTAGAAAATATTAGTCTTAAGATTTTTAAGACTTAAAATTTTCCAAAACGCGAAAAATGATTTTAAAAAAATGTCAACAAATTTATCCCGCACTTTTAAACGTTTTCAATAAATTTTCATTTTTAAACTTAATTCACTTGCTTTTAATTCACTATAGTTTTTGATTTATTTTTGAAAAAAAAGTTGTTTTCACAAAATTTCAATTTGAAAAATTCTTTTCTTTTCACCACTAAAAAAAAAGCACTTCGATCTTTGCAGTTCACAAAGTTTAATAAAACTTGTACTTCGATGTATTTTTTTTCCTTTTAAAAAATTTTTTAACGCACACTATCATAAGTAATCTGTGCAATATATATTCAAAGGTGTGACAGAAACAAGTATAGTTATTGTTGAAGAGAGAGATATATAATATCTAACTAAAAATAAATGTAGCAACGAGTAACGACATATTAAGCACAGTGACATCTTTCAATTGAAATTAAAAACGAAATTCAATACGTCATATTATATTAATCTAGTATACATAATGTCATTTGCGTACATAAAAGATGTCGTTCAAGAATTATTAGCATAAACTCTTATTCATGGAAATTTTTTGATTTGTTCTTGACTCGATACTTTTCTTCTTTTTATCAAAAAGTCTAAACTCAAAGTTAATTGAAACTCTGTGTGTTTCTTGCACATGCAAAACTGAAATGGTTTAACAGTTTTTGATTTTTTAAAGTCTTAACTTTTGATTAAAAGCTGAACCCAAAGCACACACATGTGGGTACTTATTGCGTATCTTGTTAGGTTATGTTACATTTATTTACGAATTTATTTTAACGAAACAAAAATCAGTTTTTTTAGAAAAACGAATTATGACAAGTTTAGATGTTCGGCTATCTATAATAACTAAATATCTTGACACTATCCAAGTTTAGTTGACACTATTTTTAGTTTAGTTATTTAAACTTGAATTGAGTTTGTCTAAGTTTTATTAAGTCATTTAGAAATTAGATGTGTCAACTACTGTGTTTTTTTTTTTTAAATGAAAATTTTTAATTGCTTTTTAAAAATTCACTCTATTTATTTCTTTTCAATTCATTGGATTTAGATGCAAACATAAAAAAAGTAAATGACATAAAAATTCAAGCATCTTTCAAAGTTTCTGACAACAAATTTTATTTTTCCGAGCCAAAATTTTTTTTCGATATTGTATTGTTGATAGAATTTATATTTCGATATATTTATATATGTTCTGATATAAAAAACGAAAGCGTCAAAATTGAACCAAATTCATCTTAAATGCAGAGGTTTTTTTTAAAAGCAATTTTATTATTAAATTATATTATAATATATTCTATACTACTACAATTATACACTATTTTTATCAAAAATTATTTAATATTTTACAAAAAAAAACGCAACAAAGATTTTTTCCTTGAAATTGAATTCGACTTGAAATAGTTCAGCTGAAAAGTCTAAGCCAAAAATCAATTAGTTAAGTGAATATTAATAAATGAAAAATTAATTTATATGTCTAATGATATATATTAATATAAATTAATGATAATATATCATTATTTTATATAACCTCATATCGTTTTTATGTAGGTTGTTATATTACTTATCTGGTCAGCTACGTCTCTGATATTTCATTCAAGAGCGACAACAGTGGCTCATGTTACCGTAAATTAATGCATAGGTAAAAATGTCGGTTAAAGTATACCCACAGTGGATTTTCCATATAAACGTGATTTTGACCATAGTGTATGATCAGTTTAATTTTGTATACGTAAAGTCGTAACGGGATATATATAGAAAGTGTGTAGGTGAATATGTACATACGTTTGTATTTGTATTTATGTTTCACATGATAATCAGAATGGTGATGTAGATAGGGTTGCAAAGTGAAGCCAGTATTTGTCCAATGTAGAACTGTTAATTGTAAAAACAAAAGAAGTTTTATTTAACCATAAGAAAGGAATTAATTCCTCTAACTTTTATTAAATAAATTCAATTCTAAAACAAAACAAGCTTTAATTTTAACTTTTCACTGGCGCTAAATTTATTAAAGTATTACTACTTTCTGCTAATTCAGAAATTGAAATACGGCCTCTTTGCCTTATAAATTTAGCTACAGCATTTAATTCTTTTTCTGAAATATAAATGAACTTCCCGCGGTCATCAATTACACCCGTTAAAGTATTATTCTTTTGTAATTCAGTAATACGGTCGATTACTTGTTGAGTTTTCATTTTAAAATGTGTAGCCAAATCCTCTAAAATAACGACCTTATTGTTTTTTATATGTTCAATAAATTCAAGGAGCAGTCCATCCTTTTCTTCTTCTTCTTCATAACCTTCTTCTTCAACATCAAATCCTGCTTTTATCTTTAAATATTCTTCATAATCTTTTCGTTCTTTTTCCTCTCGAGCTAAACGCTCTTCTTCTTCTCTTTTCTTTTCCGCTTCCTCATCCTTTTCTTGCATTTTTTTACGTTCCTCTTCTTCTGCTGCATCTTTTTTCTTCTTTTCTTCTCTAAATTTTAATTCCTGTTCACGTTGAGCTTTTTTTTCTGCTTTAGCTTCTAATTTAGCTCTTTTCTTGGCACCCATTTTTTCATCAGTCGCTGCATGTATATTTGTTTCATCTGCATCTTCATCACTTTCTTCGGCTTGTGCTTGCGGGGTTGCAGGAGCTCTCACTCTATTTCTTTGATTTCTTAAAATTTGGGCTCTTCTTGGCACACCTTCTTGTACTCGAACAGGAACATTTCTATTATTCTGTTTATCAGAGTCTGATATATTGGAAATGTATTAGTAAAAAACATTAGATTTTATTATTAAGAATGATTACCTTCCTTATTTTGTTTTTTTTGAAAAATAAATATAGTTATCAAAATTATGAGTAAAGACGCAGCTATGCCGATTAAGAGTATTAAATCCATTTGATCTTCAAAAAATTAAAAAAGAACAACCTTTTACTTTGCAATTTTGTTATTTAGCAAAAACAAGGAAACGTCATCATTGTCACTCAAATAAAAGCGAATTTTTTCGCCGTTAGTTGACTTGACCTCGCAACACTACAAGGCTAGATTGAAGTTTTAAATTTTATATACAACAATGTAGCTCATGTGTTAATTCGATTCTAATTGAGTTATGTTGAAAGAGCTGTTGTTTGTGTCTTTTTTGAGAACCTTCTTTTTTGTGAACGTCAAAAGTAAACGTCAATGTGCTTGATTTTTCTCTTTTATTCTAGTCAATTTAATAAGGTTTGATTATTACTTTGCTCGTACAGGTTTTCCGGACTTTAATAAAGTTTATTTAGAAATGGATAAAGAAACTGCAGCAATCCAAAAGAAATTACAAAATGAATTAGATGCTTATCAAGCTGGTCAAAAAGGTAATATATCAATTGCTTTAGTTTTAAGTGTCTCAATTCTCAACTGCTTTTTCCCATATGTTAATATGAAATGGGACTAATATTTATGAAAAAACTCAAATACCTAAAGATTTTTTAGCTATTTTATTATTATGGAGCAAAATTTGTTACTTAACATATTTGTAGATTTTCAAAAATTGGCACAGCAAAGACAAATTTTAGAAGGACAGTTGAATGAAAATCAATGTGTCCTAGATGAGTTAAATTTGTTAGGACCCGACAACAAAGTATATAAATTATATGGTCCAGTCTTAGTCAAACAAGATTTAGAAGACGCTCGGCAAAATGTTGGAAAACGTATCGAATACATCAAAAAGGAATCAAAAAGTTGTAATGATACTCTAGAAACATTGGAGAAAAAACAGGATAAACATAGAGAAAACCTTAAAAAATTACAACAACAGTACCAAATTGTGATGAAATGAAAATATGTATTTTAAATACATCTGCAAATATATTTAAAAAACTCACTATTTACGGCAATCTCGGTGAGTTGTTTCTTTCTCGCACATACAGCGAGAATTTATGCATTTTGAACTAATACTAACAAAGTTAATTAAAAAGTTAATAAAGATTATCAAATAAAAAAAATTCTATGTAATTTCTTCTTATATTTCTAACCTTATCAATAATAATGAGTTTAAATTTAACAAAGTTTATTAATTTAACCACCACCTTTTGAATATTTTTTCCAAAACTTTTTGACGTCATCATGACCATTTTTCGTCACAACCATATTCCTGTTTCTTTCATTTTGCCATACTAATACGTTAATTGATTGAGCGTAATCTCTAAGAGTAATGAAATCAGCTTGTGACAGAAACTGGTTATAGACAACACCTTCGGTAAAAGTGAAACGATTTCTTTCATTTTCCCATAATTTTATTTGATCAACAACTGTTGGTGGTAATTGAGATTTCGTTGAAATAGCAGATTCTGCCTGACTCTTGATCATATTTGGATGAGAATATTGTTCTAAATAACTTATTATTTGACTAGCCGTTATGCCACCACGAAGCGCAGATCTTACTGAATCTCTAGTTAACACACCAACAACTAAATTTGGAAAACGATAAAGTAATTCTGTAAATAATCCTAATAGAGCAACTTGAAGGTTTGAGTCAGTGTATGCATAAACCTAAAATTAGAAAACTTTTTGTAGGCAGTAAAAAAATAACTAGACACAAATGTAATACCCTATAATTAGTTTCAACTACAATATAACCACTATCTTGGGATTTTTCGTTTTCTTCATCTGTACTTACGGCTGGAACAACAGAATTTTTATTTGTTATATTCAAAGCAAGCCTTGTTGGATAATAACGTCCTTCTTTACGTTTTCTTTGATAAACTAGACCAAATTCTCGCAAATGTTGTAAAAATGTTAACATGCGCGGAGGTATCCCTTCAGAGCTATAATCGCGCCCTAATGTTGAAAAACTTAATTGAAATAACATAGAAAGACATTCAGGTAAACTTAATCCATGTTCCTCACAAGTATTTAAATATTGCAGCATAAAATGCCATACCTAAAAACAATTGCTGTTTTGATATTAAAAATGCTAAGTTTTTCAGAATTACTTGAGCCTGTGTATCTAGAAGAAGAAATTGAAACCCCTGTCTGGTTATACTTGGGGCTCCATCACGTTCATCTCTTTTCATCAAATTTGCATGTAATAAAATTCTAACTGCATCTGGACTTATACCTTCATTTTCTTGCCCTTTCATTGACGAACCAGCTCCAACCATATAATGTAAGACACATCGCCATCTTGACATTGCGTAATTATCTAAAAACGAAATTTCTTTATGCCTTGGATCACCTTCTAATTGTGAACTCATTGACCAAGGACGCCCACCCCCAAGCAATGCGATTTTTAAATTCTTTTTAAACGTTGTACAAAGTTCCCAAGCAGGTAATCCACCTGGTATAGCTGCGCTTTGCCATACATTTAATTCTGTTAAAATTGATGTAGCTGCTGCTTGTTCTCTAAAATAAAAATTTAATATTATCTTTATGATAGTTTTTGGTACACATTTTCAAAGATGATGAAAGCGTAAACCATAATGAAAGCGCAAAATTATAAAATAGATTTTACTTTGCATAATGTTGTGAGCCCCATGAAGAAACAACGGCCTGTGGAACTGGTTGTTCCACAAATAATATTCGTATTACAAATTGCCTAGCGATTTCTGGTAGTTCTCTTAAAATAATCATATGATTAAATAATTTAGACAAGACAAAATGTATAAATACCTGTAAACAGCTAAACATATTGAAGGATAATTATACAATTTCTCCAGCAAATCCGCAGGACGTGTTTTTAAATATTCTTGTAAGTTTTTACATTGTAAATTTTCTTGCTTTGGAATTAAAGCATTCGATTTAGATTTACTTTCAGACATATGTTATTATTTTAATAAATATTTGTATATTTTTTTTTCTAGTTTAGATTAAATAAAAATTTAAAAATAAAAAGAAATCAACAATTTCTTTGCTAGAACAAGAGCCGGTTTGACGTTTTTGCTTTTAATATTTTGTGCATTTCTGCTTAACTGGCTGTGTTTATGCTAAAGGTGTATTTATTGTTTCTTCAGTTTTAAGCTGAGCTATTTCCAATCAAATTGTTTTTTCTCTTGATGGCTCAGTACGTGTGAAATAAGTTGAGGGATTTTTTTTTTAAATTTGCAATTTTTTTGATTTTATACTATGTAATTAGTGCAGAACACAATTGTATGATTATTTACAAAAGCGTTATGAATGTATCGTGAATTTTAATTTTCTCGCTATTCAAAAAAGAGTCACGCAATTTTGAAAGTCCTTTTTTTTTGTTCAGCTTTTTCCTATTCGATTTAATAGGCTTTCAGATAACAAACTTGTGCACTTTTTTCTATTACAGGAAAAGATCAAAACTCAGTACACATTCATAATTGGCATCATGGTTTTAAGATTTCGAGTTGATTTCACATGGTAGTAAACAAAAACTAAAAATAATTTTTGTCGGTTTGCAATTATTAGCATAAATTACATATCCTTTTTACATAATTTCTTTGCCACGGCCAGGATTTGATTCTGAACCTTATTTTCAACCACAGTTTTCCGATTCAAAATACATTTAAAAAATATATAAAAAATTTCTATTCTCAAATGAAAATAAAACGATTCCGGAACGTACAATCCTACAATAAATCGCGCTTAGGAAATGCATACAACTCATGCGGGATGATTTTGTTCGGGTAGTATTTATAAGAAAGTTCTTCTTCTCAACGTTATGTCAATCATCATACAAAATTGAAAAGAAAAGAGACTGAAGAACCCGAAACAGTGAAAGTACTTTTAGTATTAATTTAAATTATTGTTTTTCGTTGATACTAAATAGCATAAAACTTAAGTTGTACGTTAAGGTTAAAATATCTGAATTCGCCGCAATGCATGTTTTCTAAAAAAAAATGTCAAAGTCATGTGTTTGTGTTTTCATTTTAATATACATACATATTTATTTTATTAATCAGTTATGCTTTGTTTTGTTATCTCTGCAATGACAACAATTTCATTATATTTTTAAATTTATTTATAAAACAAGATGGAAGTGAATCCTTTAAGTATAATATTGGTGAAATCGGATAGTAAAGGTGATCGACTACTTTTTCGATACCCATACCGAATGGAAGCACCCACAATAAATAAAGAAACAAAAAGACAAAATCCTTATTCTATGCAATTATCTGATGATGTTCTTCAAAGCTCTTCTTCTCAGACATCAAACATAATTAAAGGGCAATTAACTGGTTTTTCTGATGAAGTTTTGTCAACATTATTCGCTGTAAAGCAAGAACTATGTAACAAAAAATTTGAGTTAAAAGTGAATGATGTGCGATTTGTAGGGCATCCTGCCTTGATGCAAGCAAACAATAAACAACAAGACGAACGACAAGGTCAAACTTCAACATCACATATATTAATCAATATCGTTTTTGCTTTATACGCTCAAGCAAGTTATTCGATTGTAAAATGTTATTATGAATTAAGTAAAAAATTAGGTTATGCGTTGAATTACGAAGAGAATCGCGTTGGGTATCTATCAGATGAAATGAATTTAATGGTGAAAACTCACGACGAAGTGGCAGCAACACAAGAACATGAGGAAATCACAAATGAAGTAACATCGAACACAGAAAATGTTTCGTCTTTTGATTTAGTTCTTGAAAGGTCAACCTTAGCACAATGTTTAAAAACAGTTTATCAAGATTTATGCACAAATGGCCTACTAAATATTACTATTAATCAATACGTTATATTAAGTTTTTGTCTTCCACAAAAGGCTCATCAATTTCATAAAAAGGGTGTTATCGTAGAGCCAGAAACTATTGACAGGTTTATATATGATTTTTAAATATTTTCGTTACAAAAACTTATTTGCATTGATTTATTTTAGGTGCCTTCAATCTTTAAAGCCTTACCATGGCATGCTTTTATTGGTAGAATTTGCTGAACTTCTAGATTGTGTTCCACCAACTGGAGCAAGGCTCCTTCTACAACTTATAGAAGTATACAACCCATTTAAGAGTTTACAATTAATGGCTGCCGACGCAGAACTTTCTATTGAAAATGTGTATCAATTAGTTGGGCACTTAGTTTATTGGGCGAAAGCTACGATTATTTATCCATTGTGCGAAACAAATGTTTATGTAATAGCCCCTGATGCGCCTCTATATACAAATTCACCTTTAGTTGAAAAATTTTCTGCAAGATTCCCGGGGATGTCTCTTTTCGAAGTAATAAGTGATTTTTCTCTACCTACTTCAATTGGTCATCTTACGACACCATTGCAACAACCAGCAAGGCAAGGTATTTTAGCACAAATGGTATTGTGGATGCTTCAAAATCATTTATTGATGCAGTTACATACTTACGTACAATTTATGCCAAATGATCATGGCGAATGTGAAGAAATTTCTGGCGCTGAATATGATCTTGGACCTTCAGATGAACTTGCTGAAGATAACCGAAGCTTAACCCCAATAGAGGACGAGTTGTAAAAATTATTAATTGTAAAATTTTCGAAATTGTTTTAAAATATATCAATATTTTTAGAAATGCTGGGTCTTTAATGAGTCTTTCAAGTCAACCTTTGCCAGTTCCTCCAAATACAAGTCGAAGATCTATTACAGATGAACACTTTTCTGTAGGTGATTCAACAGTTTCTGATAATATAGCTGTGCAACCATCTTCAAGCCATAAATCCAATTTTAGGTAAAACTATTTATATTCCTTGATCTATATTAGAACTAAGTAAAATTTCAACAAAAAAAAATTTTAGTATGTCATTTAGTACGGAAAACTGCGACAGTATAGATTCGATTGATGATGAAGAAAAAATTAAAGAATTGTTGAATGCTTTTCAAGAACCAGATAGATCAGCTGTAAGAAGGATACCAGCCGCTTCCAATATAGATGATTTATCACTTATGGTAAAACTTTGGCAAGCGGGTTACTTTAAGGGGGATCATCATTTGGAAGAAATAATGTATTTTGAAAATTTGAGACGTTCCCAACTTTTACAACTATTAGATAAATTTCGTGATGTTTTAATCATATATGAAACAGAAGATCCTGCAATTGCATCATTATATTCCCAAAGTTAATAATAATAATAACAATAATATTTACGTACTTTGATTTGTAAGAATATTAAATTCATTTAATTTAAAAACAAAGGTATTTTTTAAAGAAATATTGTTTAAATAAGGAAATTATATAATATGAAATTATAAATACATACAAATGTAACAAATGGTATACAAAAGCATAATAGCAATATTTAAGTGATTTCATTTTATGTACTCTTATGACATAATTGTTATATTTATATACCTACATACCTTGTTTTAGAATATTTAAAAAAACAAAAATTAATGTTACCATGGAGCACATTTATTTAAAACGTCACTTTTGGATTTAATTTCTCAAAATAAATCCAATTTTTGTTTAATCAATAAATGCAATTGAAAAAAAAACTATTTAATTTTTTTAATTTTTAAGTTTTAAAAGAGAAATTAACTCTTATAAAGTAAACAATGTCTGAAATAGAAAAATCGGAAACAAAAAGTGAAGATTCAAATAAGTCTTCAGTACCAATAGAATTTGTTTTTCCAGAAGAAGCTGAATATTTTATTCAAAGTATTAGAGAATTTCATATAGAAGATATTGGTTCAAATAAATGGATTGATAATCATGAAATAATTATTAAACTAAGTCAACAAGCTGCTTTAGAGGCTAACCAATATCGTGAGGAATCAATTAAAGAGGTTTGCAAATTCAAGATTGCACATATATATATATATATATATATAAATACATATGGATTTATTTTACTTTATTTAAATTGATTCAACGCATTTTTTTTTTTTGAAATATAAGTACTTGATTATACATGGAAAACTAAAGATGTTAGTACACGAAGCTTTTCTGATAATGATTTGGAAAACAAAAATTCTACCAAAATTATTAGATATTGATCCAAATCCACCAGCAAGTTTTTTGCTATATTCAATTCTATTTCATGAAGCATCGTTAATTTCTTTATTAGAAGTTGCACTTTATCATCAAAATGGATGTGAATCTTTAGGTGAAACAGCTCTTGATTTAACAGATTATTGCGCTTTAGGTATATCACAACTTATTGGTTTGGTGAGGTACGTATGTATGTATGCTATTACATTATTTTTTTTTCAAGTACATTATAATTTATACAAGTTCTTAAATTGTAAACTTTTATTTTTAAATTTTTTGTAGGTAATTAGATAGATATGTACATACACAAGTAAAATTTTCACTTTAATATTTTTAATTATTTTTTGTTTATTATGTTATTGGAGCTTTCACCAAGTTTATCGTTCTATATAATTTTCAAATTTATTCAATTCTAAAAATAAAACATATACAATGCATTTTTTCTTAATAAATTTACTTTTAATATTTTACGTATACGAAAATATATAATTTCAAGAAAACATATACATATATTAATACAAAACATTTATAATAAAATATGTATGAAAAACTATAGCGTTTTTGGGATTTAATAACATCTCAACTATTATAAAACTAAATATATAAATAATAATAATAATAATATGTATATATGTGTATAAAAATAAAATTTGTAAGAAAAAATGCTTATCTAAAAATACTTGATTAATTCAAACGAAAACAATTTTGTTATATAAACGTTAAAAGATTCCAATTATTTTTTTTTACCATATAAATTCACAAATATAACATAGAAATTTACATAGAAAACGTATTATAATATTACAAACATATTATAGATTACATTATAAGTATGTACTTGTAAATAGACTGCTTATTTATTACAAAAGAATATTAATGATAAAAAAATTAATAAAAAAATAAAATAAAAATGAGTTATAATTACACATTATTATTATATTATATATAACAATATCAATAAGTATATATACCTATACTATATATATGTATATATATCTCTAAATTTATTTGTTCGATTGCAAAAATATAATTAGTTTAAATACATAAAAATATCTACATAAAAATATATATATGTATGTATGTATATAAAGTCGTGTTATAATCCGAAAAATTCGATAATGGAATTAATTTATAAAATATATATATATGTATATATTTTTTGTGTAAATCGTAGGTATGTATGTATATATATTTGTTAAACATTTATTGTTGGAGCTGTCCAACCACCAAATGCACGTTCTAATTCTAATGCAACAGCTAAACATAAACGATCTTGATTATGATTAGCAATAACCTGTAAACCTAATGGTAAACCTTCACTATTTAAACCTAATGGTATAGCAGTTGCTGGTAAACCTAAACAATTAATTATTGCCGTATATGAGAAATTCAATGTTCTTGCAATTGGTTCTGTATGATATGGTGCAACAGTTGGATGTGTTGGATATATTAATACACCATCATCACCTAATAAATCTTTTATTTCTAATAATAATTCATCTCTTTTTGAAACAAGATATAAATGCTTATCAGTTCCATGTTGTGTTTGACCTTTTTCAATAATCGCTGTCAAAAGGCCAACTAATGTATGATTTGAGCTTCCAAAGAACCATTTAAATAATTCTGTATATGGATTTATTTCACCATCTAAATTAGCTAATTGATGGTCAAAACCTTTTCCCGATGAATCCTTCATATTTGCAAACCAAATAGCTGCAGATTGTTTAAATTTTTCAAATTGTACACGTTGTGGTGGTTGTTTTTTAGTAACAGATTGCTCTAAATGTTTTATAACTTTATGAAGGCACTCACGTAAATCCCTTTCAACTGGTTGAACTAAAAATCCACCACCATCATCTTCTTGATAAAAATATCTTATTTCACTTAAATTAACTGGTTCATCTAATTTTAAAATATCAGCTTTTGGACCTGCGATAATTTTAAGTACTGGTTTAAGATCAATTGCAAAACGACATATTGGTCCTATTCCTAAAAATGAATCTTGCTCTTCACTAAATGGTGCTGGAAATTGTCCATGATTTGGTACAATAAATTTTGTTGGTTTATGTCCAAATACACCATTAAAAAATGCTGGCATACGTATTGAACCACCGATATCTGAACCAATACCAAATGGTGAAGCTGCTGCTCCTTGAATACAACCTTCACCACCGCTTGAGCCACCAACAATTCGACTTGTATCATATGGGTTATTTGTACGGCCATGAATTGTATTAAAACTTTCCCACCACATGCAAACTTCTGAAATATTTGTTAATGCAAATGGTATAGCACCAGCTTGTCTCATTGATGCTATAGCTTTTGCATCTTCTACGGCACGTACATTACGTCTTTTCCATAATCCAGCTGTATGTATCATATTTTTTACTTGTATACAATCTTTAGTTGATATTGGTACACCTAAAAATGGTTTCTGCTTTAATAATTCATCCTCAGTTAATTTACCAGATTCAATTAATTCGTCTGCCATAGCAGCCTCCTTTAGAGCCTCTTCGTATCGTTGATCAACAACACAATTTAATATCGGATTTATTTCATTTATTCTATCAATAAAAGATTTTACAACATCAACGCTTTTAAGTTTCTTTGTTCGTATTTTATGAGCTAATGACGTAGCCGATTCTAATAATGTTAAATCTTTTATTGGTGGCATTATTTTACCTTTTCCATAATATAATTGTAAAATATTTCTAACCAATAACAGAGATATTCTGTAAATTATTTGTAAAATATTTCTCCATAATGACATCTTATTTTTTTGTATAGGTTTTGTATCCTTTTTACCATTATTTATATATAAAATTTCTCCAGCCATCATTGATTTATTCTTGCGTAATTTATTAAATTTTGTCTGGAATGTTTTTAATATCGTTTTCAATTTTGTTTTATCGACAATTTTTTCCTTATTCGTCATTAGCTAAGTAAATTTCAATATTTACACGAAAGATTTACTACAACAGGTGGTTTTCTAATTAAAATTAACACTATAAATTTTAAGTCGAGGTAGGATTTTTACATTAAAATTACTTTCTACACACCGAATTCATCACTTTCCTTTTTTTTACTTTTTTTTTTTATAAAACCCGAAGTATAAAAAATATAGAATACAAAATAAAATGCTTTGTGTTGCTTCAATGTTGCAAAAACAACTAACAATGATTACGAATTCAATGAAATTTTGACTGAAATAGCTTTGGAATTGAATTGGATGGATGACAGCAACTTGTTTATTTTTTTTTATCGTGCTTTTGATTTTCTCATTCATTACTTAAAATATTTGCTACTAAGGTAACAGAGCAGTTGTTGACCCTACATATTTTTTGTTTCAATAGGAACGTTATTTATATACACTATGTATATAAAATATATATGTAGATAAATAATTATATACAATAAAATATGTAATCATATTATATATAAAATTACAATTTACATAATTGAATACCAACATTTCATTATTTATATGTTTAGCCATATTTGGATAAATGTACATATGTTTATGTACATAAGTTTATGTACATAAATAATTATTTCCAATTTAAATGCTTTTTTTAACAATTTATGTAGTTATTATGTAGGTATATACAAACCTACATGTACATAAATATTTAATTTTCATTTATTATATTCTTAAATACAAAAAGTAAAATTTAGTATTAGAATCAAATTTTGGTAATAACAGAGAGGTAATAGAAATCTTTTGATTATTTCTGCCATGTCAATGTTATTTTAATATTCAATTGATTTCAATTTCACTCGAATTTGCCTTAGAAAACATATAACATACTCACATAATGCCTATGTACTTATGTTTACTTAACGAACACCTTAAGGCTATTAGCTTAAAGTATTCATTGGTGATAAGTACATATATTATACATTTTGTAGAATAAATTTTGTATTTTTTTCAACCATAAACATTCAAACAATTTATAAGCTTCGTTTGCAAAATGAAAATATATGCAATTAAAATTTTTAATAGAAAAAAAAACAACTTCTTAATTAAAATTAATTCCGGTTTTCAGAAACTGGTTTATTTATTTGTTTACTAATTAATTTATATCACTCTGTATATTATACATTATGTACATAAGTCATAAAACTAATATATGTATATAAATAAATAAATAATATACATATTTTTCAATCTATACGTACTAACTTACATAATGTACTTATTAGGTTCATACGTTATATTACGTACTTATACATTTTATTTTAAAATACATAATTATAGTCATATGTTATAATAGGGTAATAAATTACACAAAGCATGTAAACCTGTATGATATTTGATTGTTTTCATTAAATACATTTCTATAACTCTAATATCATCAAAAAAAAATCTAATTTAAATATACATACATATGTATGTACATGCATATGTAGTATAAAATAGCACTATTAGGCATAATTGAATGAATAAGCAAATATTGTTCTTTATTGTTCATTATTTTGCATCATCGTTAATGTGTGCCTGAGATAAAATGATGTAGTTTCGCCTGGGTTTGCTAATTTCTATAATGTGTAGCTATATAACGCGCGTTCTCTTACGTTATCCCTATTTCAACTCTATTCAAATTAAAAATTATTGATATTGATATGAAAATTTAAAGCGTTTTCTGCAACTAGTTTATGAATGTACTTAACTGAAATAAGTTAAGGTTATGTACTTATTAACATATTTAACATAATTAAAATAATAAAATTGATTTTACTTGAAAATAATTAATAATTAAATACCATATGTATTTTGTTTGTTTTTTATAAGATTTTAAAAAGTACTGGTAGCCCGTAAACTATTCATTGAAGAAATCGTTATCGGCCCGCCGGCTGTTTGTTTTACATGACTAATTTGATTCTGAATATACATATAAGAATTAACTGACTTGATTGGGAATAAGTACAAAACTTAACTGTATACATGTTGTAGATGTGAGCTTAATTTTTTACAATTTTGCATTATATACATATGTACATACTTTTATTTACATACATGATTCAGTACTGATAAATGCATTAGTTTGCAAAATATTTGGAAAAAGCCCTTGAAGTCAAAGTTCGGTGATAAATGGTACCAAATAGATTTTTTCTATCCTATAGCAGCGTCTATCCTATATAATTTTTTTGTTCGAGCAAACTACTTATAATGTGAACTTAACTTTATGATAGGTCACTGACCCGATGGAAAACGTTAAAAGACAAATAGTTATTCACGGTAATACCTACGTAAGCAGGGCAAAGATTTGTATTAAAAAATATGGTCAAGACAATTTTTAGAGAATTTAGAGAACGTATTTAATTTGAAACTACCTCTGTCAAGGTTCTTCTCGAGCAACACGGAGCCTTTTCCGGTTTTATTATAGTACAGAAGTAGTGCATGAAGGCAATGACAGGCCATCCATTCATATTGTTTTCGGTTTTATAGACACATATATGAATGTGTGTATGTTTGTTATAACGATATTATTAAAAGTAAATATACATGAACCCTTTTAAATTGCAATTATAACACCCTTTTTAATTGCAAGTTGATCAGCAACGGCTTTTTAAGTTTAGTTCATAAATATTTAAATTTTGACAATAGTATACTTTACAAAACATTAATTTTTTTTTAAAGTATGGGACATCATGAAAATTCGACGGAAGTCAGTATTGATGAATCAATTCTAACTGAAATGGAGCGTCAAAAAAGAGATTTATTGTATAAGATAGGATTACGGTGTATATCCATACTAAATTATCTTGCTGATAAACTAAATGTTTTACCGTTGAGTGTTGGATCTCGTATGATATTTGTTCATGATATTCCGTGCCTTTTGAGTGATGTACTACATTTAAGGCCTTGGCTGAGAAAAACTAATAAAGGATTTGAAAAGTTTTCAGGTTCAAAATCATGACCTCTTACATGAATTAATTTTTTTGTAAACTTGTATTTAATTTCTTCCACATTTTAGAAGAAAAATGGAAATTGGTAGATAGTGATGATCTCTTAAAAGTCGAAAAACTGGAAGCCCAATCTTGGTTTTGTTTACGTCAACTTTTATTTAATCAAAATTTAATGTCATCATATGAAATTAACGATTTTAGGCAAAGACATTTAGGAAAGGTAAAAAATCTTTGAGTTGGAAACATTAGTGAATTTCAATTTATTTTTTTTTTTATTATTTAAAGTGTCAGGGGCTTTTGAATGAAACCATTGTCGATCAGTTGCCACCATTAGCTGAATTGAAACATCACTTAGCCACTTTGCAAATAAGTAAAAACGTAACTTCTAACAAAAATAAACTAAATCTCATTCTAGAGGAAATTCCTCAAATTCAAAGCAAAATTTATAAAAAAGTCGAACAGGCTGGTGGTTTTACTCAAATTGCTGCTGGTCAGGCAGAGAAAATATTTCTAAACAAACGAGATGAAATATTTGAATTGGCTAAAAGATTGAATATGGCATATAATACAGAGCTGCTTGCTAAAATTGAAGATATTCAAAATAAAAACAAGGAAACACTTCCAGCTGAAAAAGGTAAATGCCAAAATTGTAAGAAAAAAGCTGAAAAAAAATGTGCAAATTGTCTCACGGCATTTTATTGCTCAAGGTAATAAACATTAAATTATATTTTTCAATTATAAAATTGTTTTTTTCATTTTTGGCTTTATAAAATACATTTTAATTTCATTTTACTTTTGTTTTTTTATAGAGAATGTCAGGTTGAACATTGGTCGGCACATAAAAGTATTTGTTTAACTCAACAAAAAGTGGCAGTAAAATAAGCTTTTTATTAAATTGCTGAAAATGCTTTGTTCACTTACTTTATATAATTGCTTATAAATAAAAAAATTTGTTTCACATGTTTTATTCTTTTATTTAAAAATGATTTTCTTAGCTTGACTGCCTAAGGTGTTCTTTAACAACATCCAATGCTGGAGTTTCTTCACCGTAATCTTTAATTACAACTACAGAACAGCCGCAAACTTTACGTGGTTTACCTTCTTTGTCGATTTTACATAAACCAGACCATTCGCCTAGCTTTTTGTGTGAATCTACACGAATTAATGGAATTCTATGCTCATTGCATAGAGCTGTTATAAGTTTTTTGTACAATGGTTCTTCAAATGATTCAGCCAATATACATAAAACAGCTTGTCTCCTAAAAAAAAATTTTAAAAAATTTATTTAATAAGCTTTAATCGCTTTAAAAATAATTTGTCAATATGAATAAGCATGTAGGATTTGGAAAGCTGATATTTAACGAAAGTTGAAAATTGAAATTGGTTAGAATTTTAATTGTTACTAACAGCCCGGTGTTTTTTTTTTGAATGAACCGTGAACTTGTTTACTTTTTAACCAACAGTTCTTCACGATGTAAATATTTAGTTTTTTGTCATAATTTAACAGATTATTCGTGTTTTATTAGGTAATGTTGATATTAGTTTTCTTTTTTATGCATGTAAATAAACAAATATGAGGGTGTATTTGACTTACTTATCAAGAGCTTTACAGGCTTGATGAATTCCATGAACAAGTCCATCAACCCTTAATGATTGCTTTAAAACTTCTTGTAAAGCTAAATTTATGTCCATAGAACTACCAACGACTGGTGCTGCCGAGGGAACATCTCTACAATCAAATATGTAACATGAAAAGGTTATTATATTTACATGCTGAAATAACTTACACATCTACATCTGCCATTTTAAAATATTTAAAGATTGTAGCTCCTAAAAATGTAAATATTTCTCTATTTAATATCGATGCTATAGATATTTTCAAATATTTTTCAAAGAAAGTATAAAAAATTGCTCTTTACCTGTTTGACAACCGGAAAAAAGAACTTTTACAGGGTTGCGTATTTGGAAAGCTGTCTCATAGTGACATTTAATGTCTACATTTTTGACAATATAAGAACTCTTGTGGTGATTCTTGGAAAATTGCAAACGGAAAAAAAAAAGAAAGTAAATGATAATGCGATGCTTTTATGTGTAACTCGTCATTTAAATGTCGCTATAAATATGGCTATAATTCCATTTTTATTTGTCATTTTTAATTTCACATCAAGTCAATATTTATATTTTTTTTAAGACGAATGTTACATATCAGGTTCAATATGAATCTCATATGTAATTGAAGTTTCTAGAAAAAATAGAAAATTATTCGACCATTATGTGATTTTTGTCAAATTTTTAAAAACAAGAAGACGTAAAATAAATTTTTTATTTGTTTTTCAATCTCTCGATGTAAATATATGAAACTGTTCGTCGCAACACTTTGACATAAAGATATAAAATGAACATGATGTATCAATGCTTATTGGATTAAATCTTAGATATATAAATTTGATTGTAACTTTAGCCTGATTTAATGGAAAAAACTTTCTTTATATTTGTTTATATATATATATACATACATTTATATATATATATACATATATACATATATATATATATATATATATATATATATATATATATATATATATATTTGTAAATGATATTATTGTTAGATTTTTTTATTTTTTTTATATTTCCTTTTTTGAAGAAAAAAATATTAATATTTATATGTATATAATAATAATAAAGTGTAAACATAATAAGAGTTGCTAAAAAACATGTACATACTTTTTTCTGTTTGGGGCGCCATCTGTTATTCAGTATTTGTGTTAAAAAATTAGATTACAGCTTCGTCTGACATTTTTTCTGACATCAATTTAAAATATATTTGATTTTAATTAATCAAATTCTTTTCAAAATTTTAATCAAATTTTTTTGAAATTGTATTGATGAATAAGTCAAATTAAAGTTAAATCTAGAACTTAATAGATTCTCCGTTGAAAACAGTTTTATTTAATAAATAATTCATTTTTTTTGAAAAGTGTTAAGTGTTTAATTTAATTAGTGCAGTTTCAGGGTAAGTAAATATAAATTCTCTTTTTGTTTTTATATAAAAATAAATGTTTGTGATTTCTTTATTGAATTAATTTTCTGTAGCTAATTTTGAAAAATTTGAGGACCTTCTTTATTCTTGCATGTTCAAGCTGATTTTGTAGGCAAATTAGCAGTTGTATATCGTTAATCTGGTATAGTTGGAAAGCATTTAGAATTTTCTTATTTACCAATTTAAAACTAAAATGGAAAATGAAAAACTCTTTTTCTTTTATTTTAACAACTAACTATATTTTATTTATTTTCTTTCTAATTTATTATATTTTTCAATTTTTTAAATTTTATACATAGTTTAATTTTGTTTTTTTTTTTTCATTTATTTTTTTTTCTACATAGACGTTTTTAACGAACGACGAAAATCAAATAGAATTTATTTAACTATTTTTCTTTTTCTTTGACGACGGGTAAAAAAACGAAAAAAAAATCACTTATTCAATTTATTTATATTAATTTATTATTTTTTTTTTTAATTTTTAAATATTTCTATATAAATTTTAAGAGAAAAGAAAACGTTTGCATAATGTAAATGACTAATAATGTAATATTGAAAAATTATCTAAAAATCTTAATATTTAGAAAAATATTATTTTGAGAGTTTTAAAATACTTTATTTTTTTTTTATTTTTTCTTATATTTTTTAATTTTTTTTGCGTTAGGTAATTTTACACAAATAGCATTTATCGTATTTGGACAAGACTAGTTTATATTTATTTAATTTTCAAATTATTTTTATATATTTTTTTAATATTTATTAAATATTAAACATTTTGTTTTTATATGTGTACATTCGTACTCTTATAAATTTCGATTTATATGCATTCAATGAAATTTAAATAATGCCTAATTTGTAAATGCATAGTAATATATTGGTGTAAGTAATTATATATTATTATCATTATTAATTTTTAATTGATTATTTACAAAAAAATGTTATTATATTTATATTTCAAGTATAAAGTTGTACGCATAATTATTTTTTCTTATTTGAATCAACGGAATGATATTTTTTATTTAATTTTTTTTAATAATTTTTTTCTTTTTCTCATAATTTACTAGAACTACATAACAAACTGCGATATATTATATTATATATATTTCTATATATGTTTATTTGAGTGTAAGTACATTGAACATATTGTTTTGAATTGGATAACAATTTTTATTTAACTTATATTGATCATAAAATCTGCCTTTAGTTTAGTACAGGGATTGAAATCTATTATTTATGAATTAATACGCATATTATGTGTAAATTTCCCTTAAATATGTATATATATTCGAAAAAATACTTGGACTTGAAAATTTGAAATAAAAATATTGGATATCAACCAGTAAAATTTCCGTTATAGGGTAATGCAACACAATTTTTATTGCGGAAAATTTCAAAGCCGGACTTCTTTTTTATTAATTCTAGTTAGAAATAAATTTACTTTATTGAATTTACTAACTTTTACTCAAATCTTCCATTTTTTTTTTTCAAATACATCTATGTTTTTGAATATATTTTAATTACAAGTGTGAGTATATATGCTGAGTATCTATCAAAATTCAGGCGAAATTTTAAATTGACTGATTCGGCAATTTATACTGAATATAGAGGAAATTACAGATTAGTTTGCAGTGATGCAATTATAAAGTCAATTTCACGTTAAATCGGTAGTGTTGAATTAACATTTCAACCAAAAATAGTTTATTTAAAAATTAGTAAAAAGAAGCAAGGATATTATCAAACTCTTGCTAATGCAAATACATACACATATATATATTTATATATATTAAATATCGTTATTATTATATAATAAATATATTTTTCATTTTGTATGTCTATTAGACTTTCTCTTGTTAATAGCAATATACATATGTATTTATAAATATTTAAAATTTGATATTATAATTTTAAAAACATTTTTCTTTATTTTATATTTTTTTCTTAATATTTTTTTGTGAGTTTATGGAAAATCATGTATGTTGTATTGTATGTAAAGATCTTTTTAATAATATTTATAGCGCGGTTTATAAATATTTTGTTAAATGAATAAACAAATTAAATAAAAATTAATATTTTTTATATATAAGAACATTATATTAAATAAATAATATTTTAAATTAAAATAATTTATTTTACAAAGTGTGTTTTTAATATAATGTTGTAATTTTTTTTATTTCAAATAGTATATATTATATGCTACTGTTTTAAGCTTAAAGCCGTCATTTCTTATCATTACGAAATTATTACATTTTTTGCTTTTTAATTTTATTTATTCATTTACATAATAAATTATATATCTATAAAATTCGTGACTTCAAAAATGCAGTATAAAGTACTTTTCATTGTTGTCAACAATTAGACATTCATGTGTTGATGATTTTTGTCATTCACTTTTTTTGCAATCACAAAAAAAAAGTGACGCTGTTGCAATGATTTTTTGTAAATTTTTGAGCTTGCAATAGATTATGAAATCATTATTGATGCGTCAAAATGATTATGAATAGTTATTTTTAGTGAACATCAAATTGTTGATTACTATGAAAAGGGCTTAATACTTTATTACTAGACAATTCAGCAATTGCAACTTTAAATCGAAATTATGTCTTATAATAATAAATTTTTAATGCACTTTTGAGGTGTCATAAATATTTTATTTTTATAAATTTTATATACTTTACTTATTTTATATTAAAAATTTAAGTGAAATATAATTATTATTTTTATTTATGAATTTCGTTTTTCGTTTGCATCATTTATTATTTTATTATTGAATTAGTGTTACTTAAATAACTAATAAGGAATTTGTTTGAGTGGTTTTTTGAAAATTTTATTTTATTAATTTATAAATATTTTTTTTTTTAGTTAATATATTACTAATTTATACAATAAGAAGAATATTATTTACAATTACTTGCTATAAATTTTGTTTTAAATACTGCGGATTATTCGTATTTGTGATTCATATATATAGATATACAAAACTCAATAAAAGTTTCAAAATTTTAAATAGATATATTATGTATTTATAGGTTTATAATTTATTTTTCATAATATATAATAAATAAATTTTTATCATTATCATAATAAGGAAGACATTATAGATTAATCTGTTTTATCATTAAGTTTAAGTTGAAAATATTATTATAAAATGTGATGAAAGAAAGTATTTCTGAATTAAAAATGGCAGTAAACACTGCACTAATACACAATCCGGCTTATGAGATTTAAATGCTGAATTTCATATTAATATTTTATTACTGCAAATTTTTGAAGACATAAGCTTAAAGGTTATTTTCGATTTATTTCAAGGTAAAAAAATGTATAAATTCTAAAGCTATATCAGATTGGCAAAATTTTTGAAAATAATGTTAGTTTTTGAAATGCATAAGTAATACCATTAATTAAGAATATTTTAATTGTAGTTTTTCTTTAGAAATCAACGTTTTAGCAATATGTAAATTCTTAAATAACAAATTTTAGGCTTTTACAGGGTAAAATAAATTAATTTTAATCTCTTTTCTAATGTTAATATTGAATTAGCCAAATTTAGACTTTTGGAGGCTGTTGTAGAGCACAATTGAACATGGTATTGTATATAGGAGAATTTTGTTCCAAAATTTATAAAACTGTTGATTAACAAACAATATTGTCTAAAATTTCAAAAATAAAAAGTTTTTTTTAATTTTATATTTGTTAACTTAATATAATCTGATGTGTAGTTGATTATTTTCATTTTATTATTGTTTGGTATTTAAAAAATGAATTTCTGACTGACATTAAATGTGGCAGGCAAATCGAATACGCAATCCGATAACTCAGTTAATCCAAATTTTCTCTGATTTGGCATTTAAGAATTTACACGTGCACAATAACTAAACTCACAAAAAGAGAGAAAATTAAAATTGTTTGAATCGATTAAGAAGTGCTGAAATAGCCCTGTTAAAAGCATGACAAAATGGGCAAACACATTAAAATATGAATTAGAATTAGTAGGTAGAACTAAATGACATCTATTTTATTCCATTTTCTACATGAAATTTATGTTAAAAATTTTTATAAAATTCGGGAGCAGACTGCTACCTAAAGCCAATGATTATAGTTGGATTTCGTGTTTTCTCTTTTTTCGAATATTTAGAGAACATTGCGTTAATTTAATTTTGAAGTTTTTATTATAACAGAAATATAATTTATTATTAATATATAATTAAGATTTATAATTTTACTTTTACATATTATATTAAAAAAAAATACTTGAATTATTATTTATTATGTACAATATATAAAAAAAAATTAAATATTATTTCATTTAAAATCTTAATTAATAAATTTACATATACATATTTGTTTTCTTTTAACTTGAATATCTTATTTATTTATTAACTTTCAATAATTATTGTGATTTTAATTATATATATATATACGTTATAATGATAAGCATAGAATAAATTTTTAGAAAATTTGAAATTATTTTAAATAATTATTACATATAGGAACTTTAAGCAATTGGATAGATTGTATATAACATTTTTGTTAAGTGATTTTGAAAAATTAATTAAAGTATGAAAAATAATCTTCACTTTAATGCAATTGGTATAAACTTAGGCCAGAAGAATTAAATTTAGATCAGAATTTAATAACAACTTCAACCGGGTAAATAAAAAAGAAAATATTTTATTTAATTAAATTTAAATTAATTAAATATGCCCAATCAAGTAACCTTAATATGGGCTTAAAAAAATTTAAATATCATGTTCAAAATGTTTCTCTCTAAAAATTTAAGGATTTTGCGATCCAATTATATTTTGAGCATATTGATCATGCGCATATGAAACATGGTTATGAGAGTTCAATCGTACATTATCAATATTCCAAATTTATTGGTTACTTATTATCTATTGGTGTAATTTTAATAGAATTTTGAGTATTCATCTGATTACTATTACAAAATTACAAAGTGTTAAAATAGCATCCTTTTTCATTTAAATTATTGTATCAATATTAACTGTATTATGTTCAGATTTTGATTTTTTAACTATAGATTTATGTTGTTGCTGTTGTTGTTGCTGTTGAACATTTATTGATGATCTCATTAATAGTTGTTGCTGTTGCTGCTGATTATTATAATTTCCAAGTGTATTTGTATTTGATGTTACAAAAATATCTGATGATGGTGAATGATTTTGTATTATAATTTGTTGACGTTGTCGTCTCTTTTTAGCATGTTCAATATGTTTTTTACGTTCCTCTTTTGACCAATATCTTCCAATTTTTATTTCAGATATTGTATCATCTTCTGTTGTTAAATCATTACGTTCTTGGGTAAGTTTAATTGCACGATCTTTAAGTAAACGATTTCGTACTGGTCTTTTAACAATGTAACGTGTACCATCTTGACGACGTTTTACTTTCCATTCCATTTTTTCTTCATCACAATTCGATTTTGTTGTTGATGTTGGAGCCTGAAACGAAAAATTATTTTTATAGTTTTAAAATTTAATTTTATTTAAATTAAATTTTCTTACTTCTTTACTGCTTACAAAATGATATTGACTTAAATTTGGTGCTGTAAAATGATTTGGTTGTCGTATACCGTGCCTATTTTGTATTGTAATCCATGCTTGTTGGTGTATTGGAGTATTGCCAATAAATTGAATATTTTGTTCTTGTTGTTGATGATGTTGCTGTTGTTTATTTTGCTGTGATGATACAACCTGCCGCATTAGTTTTTGTTGCAAAAATATTGCCTGCTGCAAGTGTGTTTCATTTGTATAAATTGCTGGATCAACTGAAAAGTCAAATAAAATAATAAGAATCAAAAAAAAAATTATTTGATTTAAAATAGATTTAGAATTAAAAAATCCTAGCATTTTACTTACTAGTTGAAGGTAAACTATTTTGTATTTGTTGTTGAACTTGATGCGCTGGTATTTGACTTGGAAATTTTATTTGCGGTGTATGTTTTGGGCTATTAACATTATTACCCCCATTATTCAAAAGTCTATTCAATTTCTCTTTCATATAAATATGGCATTGTTTGCAATTATCATTCATATCTGGGAAGAAAATCTTTTGACCTTGAATATTAGTTTCACTTTTTGAATTTAAAATATTTTGCATTTGCTGCTTATTATTTGTGTTTACGGCTGTTGTAGCTGATTTAATAGAAAAGGAGAGTGCTGAGGATAATGTTTGTTGATCTAAATTTGATGGAGATCTTCCATCACAATTTCCATGTATTCCAGGATTTGGTGTCATAGATTGAGGTGAACTTAATATAAATGTATTATTTTGTCCTTTAGAATTTAATGTATTCGAATTATTTTGGCATGTATTACAGTTTAATTCAAGTGTTAACTGATTATTACTATTACAAGATCCGCCTGTATTATATGCACTTGAACTATTCTCTTGATCATCTGATGAATTGTTACTTTTATTTGTAATAATAGTTGATGAATTAACAAGATTTTTTTGCCATATCATTGATTGTATTGGAGTTGGTGGCAGTGGAGGTTGTTGATTTGATTTCGGTGATTGGCCAGATTTATTTTTCTTTTGTTGTTTCAGTAATTGTTGTTGCTGCTGTTGTTGTTGTTGTGTTAAATTCTGTTGTTGATGATGATGGTGTAAATGATGTTGTTGATGCATATCAATCCAATGTTCAACAATATATTTATCATTTAAACTTTCATATGGTGAACAATAAACTGGTTCAGATTCAGAATCTTCAGGTATCGTTTCATAAATATGTTCAACAATTTTAGGTTCATGTATATGACGAGATTTTTCTAAATTTTTCGATATTTTTGTTGAATTTGGTGATGAAGTTTTATTATTGTCATGAATTGGAGTTGTTGATAATTTAGTGTCATTAGAATTATGAGAGTCATTATTTTTCATATCATCGATTGGTGCTTTATAAACGCACTGATTTGTTGATGTTGTTGTCGTTGTATTATTACTATCACAACCACTATTACAATCATTTGATAAATATTGTTTAAGTTTATCAATTTTCTTTTGATTATTTGATGATGCTGTACAACTTAACATCATATTTTCCATTTTTGAATCTAATATTGCTAATTCATCATTAACAGAATCTAATTGTGCTTTAATATTAATATCACTTAAAGGATCAGATGGTGAAAATGCTGATGTAATAAAATTGCGAGTTTTTTGTTCATCTATATTTTGTGATACAGTTGAATCCATATTAATAAGTTGGGATAAAGGTGGTGGTGGTGGCCATTGCATATTTGCTACAGATGATTTTTGTGATGATGATGTTGTTGAAATTGAATTTGCTGTTGAACCACGAGAATTTATCATAAGTGGAAGATTTGTTGATGTAGGTATAAAATTATTAGCACTTGTTGGTGTATTTTTTGATGTTTCAACAATACAATTTTCATATCTTAATATTCTATCATCATAATAATCATTTTCTAATTGTTCATTAAAATCTTCGTCCTTAAAATGCAAAAAAAAAAAGAAAAAAGAATTATAAAAATGAATTTATTTTTAAATTTTTTTTTTAATTACTTACATTATATAAATAACGACTAACTAATAATGTTACAGCGTTCTTATTTTCTGATATTAATGTTTCAGTTTCTTCTTTATTTGAAACATCACGACCATTTATTTGTAAAATTTGATCACCTTGCCTTAGACGACCATCTCTTGCAGCTATACTATCCGGTTGAATATCACTAATATAAACTTCTGTACAAGCATCAGTATCATCAGAACTTGAACCATTACCACCAGAACTGTAACTAACTGTTAATCCTAAACGTTCATTACTTGCTGATTTCCGTAAAGTAATTTCCTGTAAAATACGAAAAAAAAAATAAAATATTAAATGATTTTAAAGCTGCAACTGTTTTAATAAAATTATTTTTGATTCATTCAAAAGGGGTTAAAGATTTAAATTGTATTAAGTCGCTTTAAAAGTTTCCAAATCATCATCATCAATGGCTCTACAACCCGGACTGGGTCTTGGCCTCCTCTAAAATTTGCCTTCATTGGTCTCGTTTCCAAATACATGATAATAATATGTGACTTTGTACTTAATTAGGTTCAGTAAATTTTCAATAATACGTACGCAATTATAATTTAATTTTCTTTTTGAATCAAGGTGAATATTATCTTGAATGCACACAATAAATGAATTACACCTTAAATTTTAATTATACTTAATTCCAGTTAATTGAATTTAAAGTATTTACGTGCAATATAAATAGTTTAAATTAATAATAATCGTCTATTGTAGTGAACCATTCAATTGTAATAAGACAATTAAGAAATCATTTTAATTATTTTAAATTAGAAGACAGGAACCGGCAAATTAAATTTTTAATTTTTTATACTATAGCATCACAAAGGCTTTAAGGTCATTTTTATTTATTTTCTTTGAGAAATAAATATCAATTGATTTAATTAACAAGGTAATGTAGAAAATTTTTACATAATTTATTAAAATAATGTACTAGATTTTGTTATATCGATCAGTACTGTTGAGAGTAAAGGAGATTTTCTAAAGCCGTTAATATATAACATGCTTCTATAACTCTTTGATGTAAATATTTGAATCATATTTAGAGCATGACCTATGAAAAATTTTTTTAAATCGTTTTAAATATTCCTTTTAAAATAGTTGACAAAAGTCTCGCGACTGCTATTCAGTCAATACTTTTGAAATATTTATATTGTTAACTAATCGACTTGTGATCGCATAAGTTTCAAAAATCCAAATTTTATAATTTAAACGCCACTGGATTTAGAGCTTTCATTGCGTAAAACAATGGTCCGCAAAAAATTTTTCGTTAATTTTTTAATTAAAAAAAATAAAAACCTTTAAGCTACTATAGTCCTATTTCGTTTTGGTAATATAGAATAACCAATACCTCCTCAATCCTAATGAATATTTTGTGATAAAAAGTACTCACTTTTAAATGTTCTATAAAAATATACTCGCTTTTAATTGTCTTAGAAATAAAAACTACTGTTTTAAACTTTTTTATTGTTTTAGAATGCTTTTTTTGCCTTCTGTCACGAAGTTTATGTCTCAATAGAAAATTTATCTCATCTAAACTCTATGTATATATATTTTTCACCTCTTGTTTCTCCTGTTTTTTTTTGATATGTGACATTGCATTCGTATAGTCGGTACACATAATAACTTTTTCGCGATTTGAACAGATCTTTTCTTTCGGTTATCGGCTTACCGATATTCGGAAGTTGCATTTATAATCACTTAAATTTATATATTATCTCCACAGTAAGATAACAGTAAAATCGGTAGGTTATCTCCAAAATTATAGGAGTATATTCTATATATAAGCAGGTATATTCACAATCACGATACCTATGCAAAAGAAAAGTGTGCAACCCCTTAATTTATATGTACAGATTTTTGGTTGAAATAAAATTATATGTCTATGTCCGCCCGTTCGTCTATTTCTTTTTCTATATAGTTTTTTTTTGAGAATGCAAAGAGTTAAAGAGTTCAAATGTAATGAAGATACATATTTGATTTTGCTCGCAGATCATTATTGAAAATAAACAAGAATAATCGTTGGAATTGGTATTTCCCGTACAAAGTTTGGGTTGTGGTTTTGAAAAAAATTCATCAAATATGGTTATGCGTCATGGGTGTTGAAATGCTCTCCAAAATCTCTACAACTTTTCTTCGACAATTGTTTTTTGAAAGTCAGTGGTTTAGGGTTTCAGGTCCTGAGAAAATGCCCCGGTTAAAAATTAAAGTAATATGGTCTTTGCCGTTTATTATTAGACAGGTTTTGAAACAAACTATATGGAAAAAAATTTTTTGTAAATCTAAAAAAGGCGGATATTTAATTTTGGCAAAGGACCAAATTTTATTTTTTTACTTGGTTAAAATTTTATTGTATATAAAATTGAAATCTACACATGTAATATGATTAGGTTAGGTTAGGTTAGGTTATCCAACGGTACCACAACTAGGCCCGTTGTGGTACCGCTGGATCTCTTCTCTCGCGCTCCTCATCTGAACCAGCCCGAACCTTTTAAAAATCGGTTCAAATTCCTAACGCTTACATATGCCAAGTCCTTAGTGCCCGAAGAAGTAAGACCCAAAAAATCTCTGCCTGGAGTTCGCCAGTGCCAGACATGAGCATAGAAGTTGGGTCACCGTTTCCTCCTCCCCCTCGTCACAGCAACTCCTACAAAGATCGTTTGCGGGGCGGCCCATTCTCTTTGCATGTTCATGCAAGGCCGGCCCGCAATCATTTTGCATGATTGCACTTAATCGTTAAGAAATTTAATAAATTTTTAATTAATTTAATTTTGAAATGAAACATGTGACATCTTAAACGCTATACACACATAAAATATTGTATGATTACAAGTAAAATACTGTAATTAGTTTAAGCAACTTTTAAATTCAATTTTTTTTATATTTTTATTAATAAAATAAACATTTTTGTATATCCTTTAAAAATATAATTTTCTTTTGTCTTTCTTCTTTTTCATTTATAATTTTATTAAATATTTTTTATTTTTTTAAAACATATTCGGGTTAAAATCCTTTTAAATGAAAGTGAGAAATTATAATAATCTTTAATGTGCATAAAATTTTATAAAGGTATACCTATATGAATGTACCTAGGATACTATTTAACTTTGGTTAATCTCCTTATTTTTTTTTAACATCACTTAATTGAATATAATGTACCTGTATATATAGGATAAATTTAAAATTTTTTGAAAACTAAAAATAAAAAATTTTTCTCTTTTATTTCTTGCCATGTGTACATTATGTACAAATTATAGTTTTTATTTCCATAACATACCAAAGTAACAAAGTAAAGTAGTGTAAAAACTGTACGGAAATTGTAAAGTTTTACTTTACTTTTTTCATTAGTTTTGCATAAAAAATGAAAAAACAAAAAAAAAAAAATTAAGTGTATGTTTAATTCAAAAAAAAAAAAAATTTGTTCCAACTTTTTTTTTTTTATAAAAAACTTTTAATTGTTTATGCTTTGTTTCCTATATGTATAATGTGTTTGTATACCAAGTACATATGTATATAAATTTATAATTGGTATACATGCACATATGAACTTTATAATTATTATGTAAGTAGGTTTTTTAAACATTTATACAATTTACCTAAATAAATATAAGTTTTTTTTTGTTGTGTTTCTTGTTTTTCAAAAGTAATCATTTACATGTTGCTGTTTCTGATGGGATTAAGTGGAATAATCGTCTACTCTACATACATACTCGTATATATTTGTTATTATTTACTTAAGGTAAAAAAATAATGTTATTAACACGACTAAAAATGTCTTTATTTCGGAATTTAATTGTATGTATGTATGTACTCGTATGTATGTATTTTATTCAAAAATCTCTTTTTGTATTATCCGGGATTATTATAAGTGAATGTATTCAACGTATAGGATTCAATGAAATACAATATTACATCAAGTAATGGAGGACAAGGAAAATTTTAAACTGATTTTAAAGATATAGAGAAGTTTTGCTTAAATCTTGTCGGTGATTTCATTTTGATTTAGATTGAATTGCAATTTTTTTTTGTAATTTTTTTATTTAAATCAATTACTTTTCAAATGTAATTTCATTTTGTAGTGTTGGTAACAATTATATTTAAGGTATAGTGAATTCGGAAAATATCGTGTTGTGTATTTCACGTATATACATTTCGGCAAGAATATTATCAATTCCTTAGTGTTTATAAAGAAACTATTATACGATGCAGGATTATCCATATAAATCATCGATTTTACATTATCATATTAGAATTATCTATATAGGCGTGAATTCGAATCGTTTCTTCGCCCAATTAATAATAAGTTAAAACTGTGAAATTTAATAATTTAATAGTATTATTAATTAATATTTGTCAAATATTAATAATTTTTACAATCGTCCATAATGAATTCCCAAGGTAAATTAAGTAAATAGTTTAAATTTAAGTCACATGCACTGGAGCTTAAGGAAAATACCGAAACTTGCGTAATATCACGAAAAATAAATTGTTGAAAAAACGTTTAAAATTCAAATTTTGTATAATAGTGATTCGCAAATGAAAAAAGCTTTACTTTGAGAACGAAATATATGTGGTCCACGTCTGTTGAGAAATAAAACAGTGTATGATCCGTATACCTTGTATATGTTATACACTGTTTCATTTCTCAACAAACTATATATATATGTATGTATATACTATTAGTAGAACTCTTGACAATTTTTCTTTAAAATTATGAGATAATTTTCAGGGGGGAAATAACAACTCGATAAAGTTGATTGAGAATGCCGATTGGATTGAATGCCGATTGATTGAATGTTGGGAAAAGCCGATTTTGGTTCCAAAAATTGTAGTGTTACTTGCAATTGGTATCATCAAAATAGTCGATTTTTTTAATTTACCCAACTTAGAAATCTGATTAACCTAAATTACAGTCATTTAGACTTGTTTTAAAAAATTTTTTTTTCCAATTTATAAAATCGCATTTTTAAAGTTAATTAATTACTTTATTTTTCCATTTTGTTTTTTTTTTTTTTTAAATTGAAAAGTTTTTATATGGTTCAAAATAGTTCATTTTTTTCAAAATTGTAATTGTGTCATATTTTTAATTGTTATCCCAGTATAGAAGTAATAATAAATATTATGTATGTATGCATTTGTATACAATGTGTACAATGCTACGTATTGTGCAGTGACAACTTCCTTTTCGTCTAGGAAATTTATTCGGAATATGTTTAACTTTTTTTTAGTTCAACGTATTACAATCACATAAAAGTTGGAAAAATGAATTATTG